AGTTTTTCTTCTTCTTTTTTTTTTTTTTTGGTAGTCTGCACCAAAAAAGACCATGTTAAGAGTTTCCCTTTTTCTGTTCCCAAATAAGACCGTGATTTCGTAGGTTCTTGGTAGTCTGTGCAAATTAATACTTATTAATTGAATGACATTCATGTGGGTATACGTTTAAGCATTAAAATATTGGTTTCTTTTGCAAAGTGACATTATAGGGTTTCTTATTATTTCTATGCCTCAGACAGCTTTTAGGTATATACTTGTAACTTCAAAATTAATTTCTGCAAAGTGATAAGGGGATAGGAATATCAAATTATTTTCTTGCATTGGTGACCGAAACAGAAAGAAAACTGATTGGAGCTTGGTTAACAGTTGCAATACCATCCAGGTTGAGTGTTTTAGTGTGTTGACTCAGCATGATTAAACAAGAATACCGAGTTGTAAAGTTTCTTCTGTTGGTAAAGCAAACAACATGACTCTGAATATGGCACAAAAACATACTCTTCTTAGTCACATTTAGGACCATTGCCTAATCTGGAAAACTTTGATTATTCCATTACATTCTTCATGCTGATGTTTGATAATCTGTTAAAGAATAAAGCTGATTTAGGTTGGCATGCTGATTCAGAAGCATTACACTCAATACACACTCAGTGCTTCCTACATCTATACATGTCTAGCACTTGCTTATCATTTGTTTTAAAAACTAGCCAGAGGAAACCTTCCACTTGTGGAAGACTGAGCCTCACAGAGACGAAGGGTTTCTATTCGCTATGCAAATGTTATGTTGTACCTGTTTGCTGCTCTGTGGAAGATGGTGTGTCTGGGATTCCCCATTCCAATGTTAGCTAGTCCTGCTTCCAAAGGAGCAGAAGTTTTGTCTTTAGGAGCACTTTCAGGTTTTTATTTAAAATAGAAAGTTTATATATTTGGGGTTTCTGTAAATGAAGGCATTCTAAAGACACTTGAAAGGATGCAGGAAAACTACTAGCTTTGTAAATATTTAATTTCCATTGTCAGAGTAGCCTTGTTCATCATCTTTCTGATTTTAAAAATTACTTGCATTCATAACAATGTAATACACTAGTAAAGCAGAAAGGACTAGCATAAAGTCAAAATTAAAAATGCATTTATGACCAATTCTGTCTAATATGTATATACCTGAAAGATCAGAATATGTTATTCGCAGGCCTGTTAGCGTAGGAAATGGAGTGCAGTATGCTGGGTATTCTGTTCTAGCATGGTAAGTGCAATAGTCCATGTTGTAGCTTGCCTTTGAGAGGCAGCTTTAGCGGTAGCAGCTTTTGGTTATATGCTGATCCTGGAATCCGGTAAGCATTTAGTAACTGCTGAGAAATCATCAGCATAGTAATTTAAATGGAAAGAAGTTTGCAGTAAGATCTGAAATGTACTATGGCAGTGTGTGATTTGGGGAAGAGAGGAGAGGAAGTTTGGTAAAATGGAAAATGGTGGATAGCGAGCATGTACTGCCTTTTGAGATAAGGGGAAAACCACAGAAAACTTGCTGCACTACGTGACTGTGTTTTAAGGCTCAGTTAATACAGACATCACCCAGTATACCTCAGTCTCTATGGGAGAAAATGATGCTTTAGAGCAAGATTTAAAATTTCAGATCTGAAGGTTCACCTCGATTGCAAAACTTGCATAATCAAGGTAACAATTAAAAAACCCCACAATTACCAGAAAACGAATTTAAAAATGCATCCTCTATATTCCAACACACTTACCTTTTGCCTCCAAAAGTATTGAGGAATTTTCTGTTCTTCCTTGTGGGAAGCCGCAGGCACTGGTCTCCAGGTCTTGGCTACCTTATCTCCAGGCAAACCTCCGTGCAGCATAAGGAGGTGGAGGTGGATGGGACAGTGATCCCCTTGCTCTCTGCAGTTAGGCAGGAGTGCTGCACACTGTCTGCCAGCTTCCAGCCTGGAAATGTTCTATTCCCAGCTCTGTGCCGACAGACTTTAGGACCAACAGCACAGTGTTTAACCCCTCCAGGCCAAAGAAAAGTGAGGAAAGCTGTGGGAAGATTAATAATGAGAAAGTAGAATGTAAGAAAAGAAATGTTATTTTATGAACACACTCAAGTCTCTGGTTGAGAAATTCTATGGAAAGGTATTACTTGTAATTTATATGGAAATATGTGATTCGGGATAGTGAACTAAATAATGTTTATGGGAAGCTGTGAATGGGTACAGAAAAATACTAGCTATTCTCCTTAGAAGTATGTTGCTGTTGCTGCTATCTTATGCTCTCCTGTGATTGTTTCAGTCAGAAAAGACAGACTTTCAAAATTATCCTCCTTGTCAAAAAAAACTTTTCCAGCTTTTTTTCCCAGACTTTGTAACCATCTCCTCCCCCCCTCATACATTTCTAGCATGAGACAGTTCTCGTTTGTGTTCTGTTTGTGAGCTTTCCCTGCAGCTTTTGCCATCTGAAGCAACCTGCCTGTGAGTCTGTCTTGTCAGTCATCAGATCTCCTTTCATCATGTTTCTTCTTGCTTCCTATATGTCTCTGCTTATTTCAGTTTAATTTTGTACTGATACTATCTCATTCTGGGAAGCGTTTTTTAGCATACTTGCTATGAAAGATGTGCAATGAAGAACTGCAGTAAAGGACTGCAAATGTGGTTTTAAGTACGGGCAGGATTTTGCAGTTGGCTGCCAAAGCACAAGATGGCTGAAAAGCAGAAGTGTCAGCAGTGGCCATTGAAATGTAAATGAAATGCTTAATGTGACCTTTCTGTAAGTGTTTGGGTCTCTTGTTCTTTCTCCCCTTCTCAGCCGTGTACACATCACTGAAGCAACATTAAATCACTTGGGCAAAGCTTATGAAGTAGAAGAAGGGAATGGACACCTGAGGGATCCTTACCTTGAATCCATGAATATCAAAACCTACTTAGTGGTTGATCCAAGGGTATGTGTATGCTTTTAAACATGTATATTTATTCAAATATATACATACATTATTTAAGTACACAGGTGTCTGCGGTGCATACACCTTTTTATTTCAGGAACAGAATGAAAGCATGGTATGAGTCATCTGAGTAGCTTGGATCTGGGATTTCAGATCTGAAGGCAGGTCCTGCTATTTTATGACATGTCTGTTAGCTTGAAGGTATCAAGTGTTATGCTGAAACCTCTTCTGTGGTCCACTTAGAGTAAAAATACATATTTGACTATGTATTTGTGAAGTGTGTCTCACAAAACCAGGTCAAAAGGTGGGAAGAAGTCATGAAAGAATACCTGTACTATGTGGCCACCTTCAGATAAAATATTCCCTGTAAAATAGCTTCTGACATCTTCCTCAGTGTCCTAGATGTGAGGTTCACCACCTTTTCAAGGTGTAAAGTTAGCAACTGTTGGTTGCCCCTTTAGAGCCTGGTAACTGCAAATACCTGGAGTATTGCTATTTTGAATTGACTTGTGGTTGATGAGTAAAGTATTTCAAAAGAAAAAGGAATGAAAATGACAAACTTCTTTCCTTCAGGATCTTTACAGGAAGGAACAGTATAGAGTCGGTTTTAATTAGCAAGAACTCAGTCTTATCTTTGTTGTGTGTTTTATGTACTCGACACTGCAACTCCCCCGCCCACATATACACGGTACATATCCTCAGAATGAGGATCTAGGTCTATTAAAATGGTCCCTGCTCACTTGAAGATAACTGCGAAATGTTAGAGAATAACCAGTCACTGATGCATTGGTTTATTCTGTAGTTTTAGCTTCCTTGTAGGCCCACAAGGGTATTGCTGTATACCCTGTATATACTGCCCGACTCTTCACCTGTGACGTAGGGATATAATCTAATGGCAAGTCTGTAATTTGTGGGATCTTCTCTGAACCACTGTTTGATATGCCCTAGCTCAGGAGTTGGAAATCTTTTTCCCCTGCTGTTGTGCTGACTGCAGGGAAATTGTATCTATTCATAAGATCTTGCGATCTCTCACATCATCGTAAATAAATCCAGAAGTTTGAGCGTTGCAGTGTTACAAGTGAAGGCTTGTAAAGGCAGCTGAAGCAAATTCATTATGTCATGATTTGCTTTACCTCACTTTAATTAAATGACATAAAGCAATCAAGGCTGGCTGACACATTGCTGATACGTGTTTAGAGTCCTACTAAATAGCTAGATTGTATAGTCCTAAGCTACTGAAGTACACAGAGCTTAATTTCTTTGTAATTTATTTAATTTTCTGTTTTCTAAATGAGTTGTTTTTTCTGTTAGTCTAAACAATGCATATCAAATAATCATCTCCCGAAAACAAGAGTTAATGATGGGCTGAAGATGCGAGCATCTGTTCGGATGACACGTTACTTAGAGTCCTGGGGAGCAGCCAGGCCCTTTGCCCACCTGAACCACAGAGAAAGTGTGAGCAGTGACTCTTCAAGTTCACAAGGAAGGCGAAGAAAGGTGAGGTTTCAAGTAGCGATTGTCATCCTACAATTGGAAACTGCTCCTCCTGTCTGTGGTGTGAAACTCGAAATCTAAGATGGTTTTTGTGGCTGAATTTCTGCTATTACTCTTGGTGTTAAATGTGTACACAGAACTAAGAAGGTATCTGTGCAACAATTATTTCTGTCAGAACTGAACAGTATTCCAACTCTGCCAATCTCTAGCTTTGAAACTATCTTTTTTTTTTTCCCCCGACAATTTTCTGTCTTGGGGTCTTGTTTGCTGCATGTGGTTTTGGAAAAAAGGTAATTTATCCTAGCCTCCAGATGCACTCTACGTTCACTTAAAATGTATAGAAAATAAACAGTCCCTTTATATGGTCTGCCTGCAACAGGATTTTATGACTAAAGAATTTTTAAGATTAAGAATTCTTCAGGTTTTTAAAGACTTTCAGATCTAAGAAAACTCATTTTTCCTTCCATCGACCCTTCCTGAAAGCTGAAAGGAGGAGACGTGCATGCTTTTAGGTGTGCTCCTGGAGGCGCAGCAAGGCTGTACTACTCTTTGTGGACAGGTAGCTGTAGTAAATTTTAAATTAAATATCCGTCCATTCAGGTTTGTGGAAGTGGTTTCCAGCCTACTTGCCTCTGCTGATGTTATTTGTTTCAGTGTGTGGAGATAAATAAGAGGGAAGATCTGTTCAATTATTTTCTAACAATTTTTTTGGTCAGAAGACGCTTCCTTGTTAAAGCAGAAAACATTGCTGGAAAGGGTTGATTTTGATAAGCTTTTCTATTTGAGAATGGTTCTTGATTTTTACTGTGAATAAAAATGTTTTTGGCAGCTTCCTGAAGTTTATTTTCAATAGTTGTTTGCCATTTACTGGGTGTGTAACTTATTCTTAATGCCTTATTTGATTTAGGAGATACCTTTGTGTTCCACTGGGCGCCAGAGAACTTCTGATAGGTTTGTCAAGTACTTTCTTTTTTTAAAATACTTGATCCTGTGATCCTCTTGCAGTTCAGTGTACTGTGAGCATTTCATCTTTTGGTTGATTGGTCACTTTGTGCATGGTATCCCTGCATTAGAAAGGTTAAGCTAAATCTTTGGCTTTTAAAAGACTTCTCAATTCATGTTTGTTATTGTTAGCAGCCTCTAAAAGGAGCTTCACCCCCTTCATCTTCCTGACCCCTCAGTCATTCAGGTTGCACTTTGCTTTATGGGCTGTAGTAGGATGGGAGGGAGTAAGGAAGTAAGAGGCCTAAAGAGCAGTGGAAAACAAATCAAAGCACCTCGTATATCATATACACCCATATATTGTAACCGCTTGTGCTACCTCAGCTTTTATCTTTCTTACTCATAGATGCTAGATTTGTTTGTAAATATTATAGTGCAAAATAAATACAATTTTACATAATAAGTAAATATATGTTATATTTTACAAGATATGTCTTTTGTTAGTAGTATTAATGTATGCCATTGTAGTGTAATAAACATTTCTACGTATAGTACCAAGTTTTACAATGGTGCCTGTACCACTGAGTTAACTAAGTAGGTGATCTTCACTTGTGAAACATTCTCTCAGTTTATCGAAATATTGTCTTGATTTGAGAAACTAGGGAAATGCTTTGTAAAGTGCTTATGGATGTATAAGTTTATCAGTTTGGACCATTCTTGTTTAACTTTTCCCCGGTAGCTTACCATACTTGTGTACTGAGAAACTATGGTCCTCTGTAGCCATTAATTGTTTCTGAATAGCATTTGTGACATGGACTTCATTTCGTTCTCAGAAATTCGTCTCAGAAGGGAAGGATAGAGGAAGATATTTATGATGAAATGATGTCAACTATTGAAGGCCTCAGTTCCACCAAGTATGCAGCATTTTATTTTTTTCTTCATCTTTTCTTTGAGAATAATCTGCGTTCTCAATTTTAAGTCTAGATACAAAATTTACTTCTCAAAAATGAAAAGTTACCAGGATTTTTGTTTTGCCTTTTTTTTGGTCTTTGTTTTTTTACTTATTTCAGTTCCTTTTTGATTTTAGTTTTAGTATAATGAGAGTATCACTGCATTCTTATAGCAAGAAGCCAATGGTTAGCCTAGCTGTTCAATGTGGTACTATGAAATAGCAAAATTATTGCTTTGTTTCTTATGACTGTCGGAAGTTATGAGCTGAACTGCAGTGTAGGATGGGATAGGAAGTTAATGTTTGTATTCTGTTTATTAAAAAAAGAAGTGTCAGGAAATGAACAGGTGCAGTCCTGAACAAAACCTATCTATAAAGTCAAAACACAGTTTTGGGGGTAATAATAAAATTGCTTTAGTGTCTGATTCGCTGAAGGTAAATAGTCTGTCAGTAGCAGGTGCTGCATTTGACACTATATGTGCATTTAAAAGCAGACAAACAGGCAATGTTGTTGGGGTTTTTTTTAATTTAAAATACAATATTTAAATTCCTATCAAATGTAAACCAGTGAATTCAAGAAGAAAAACTCCTCCTTTCATCTAAATTATAGCAAGGCTGTTATCACTGTACCTCAGCTATTCCTAGTAGGGGCCTGATATTATTTAGGGAAAGTTTTTGGAGGCTGTGAGCCATCTCTAACATCTGCTCTTATCCTTTCCTATTTGTAAATGTTGGGGAAGGTCTGGGGTTACATTTTGGGTGTAGCTGGCAGATGCTGCTGTCTGAGTGTTCTGGGTCTGCCTGTCAGCTACAGAAGAACGTAACCGCTCGTATGTTATGCTATGAAACATCAAGGCCTTGCAGAACTGTCAAATGTGTGTAAACCAGTGGCACTCTCACCCTGTATACTGTGGAGTCTTGACTACAACGATGCTTTTGCATACTCTCCTTAGCCTGTTGCGTACTTTTTGTAATGAGTGTCTCTTTGAATGCAGTCCGTGGTGTGGCAAATCAGATGACTTCTGTGGATTTTCACTGATTTTTGCAGAACCCGGTCTTGAAAAAGAGGTTGGTAAGAGCAAAATAATCCTTTTTGGTCTTTGATTTGCACTTCAGAGCAGCATAAGAATATATTTGAAACTAACAGTTTTCATTCTGAAAGTGGATTCTGGAGGTGACTGCACATCCAGAGGGGTTTTTGGTAACTAATGGGAAGCAGATGTCATGATTCATTTGAGTTGGTCATTCTTCCTTGAGAATGCTAATTCTGTAGATTAAAGGGCATTGTCTCCAATCTCTGGTTAAATTCATGCTATAAGGCAGTTAGTAGGAATTTGGCAACTTTACTATATGAAGAACTTCTCTCAAAAGTAATGAGATTTAAAAAAAAAAAAAAGTATTTCTGCATCCATAATGAAAATACTTTGCTTTCTGTGGTTGTTTCATTGCAAGTATAGTACTGTTGTTAGGTACAGTGTACTTTTTCTGTTTGAATAACTGTTCTTTAATTTACTGTGCTATGGTGTAGTGTATGTAGTTACTGGGGGCTGATTTACATACTTGGTGGATTTCCCTCTTGGTTTGAAATTATCCTTTGGACTGGGCTATTTTTCTTGACAGATATTCAAGTGAATTTTATTTGGTGGTTTTCTTTTGTTTCCTTTTAGTTCTATGTGCATTTTGAATAGTACAGTATAAATTTGCATATATGTGTCATCACAAAAATGTAATAAAATTTAAAAAAACCCTGGAATTATCCTCAAGATTGATTATAATCTGTGTTTCAGTATCGCACCATTCCTATTCTAAAACTGAAGAGTTACTTCGCATGTGCCAGTTTTGTGTTCCTCTGTATATTTCTGATACAGATGTTTATTATGCCAAAGTAAGTGTCAGTATTTTAATAATTTGTAATTCAAAGTAACCAATAACTAAAGTGAAACTCATGCGCATGAAACTTTTTAAAGTCTTTTGGAGTTCCTGAGGGTTTACATCTAAGACACGTACACCTCGTAGGACTAATTTACCCCTTAATAAAGGAGTGCATTCATGTTGTTGGTGTAAGAGCCTAGGTATCAGTATGAAGATAAAATAGAAATATTTTTTTAATATTCTGTTTGCTTAGTGCGCATAGGGAGATGATCAGTTAAGTGAGAAATAGTATTTTATAAGAATAGTTGGCTGTAAGCACATTGAGTGAGCAATAGAAAAGTGGAATTAGCTGTGTAAAATGTGCTCAATGATCCTTTTGTCTGTACAGATACAAGGAGGGAACTTTGAGCTTCTTGCCATACCTCCAAGAAAGCAGATGTTTGGTAATTCTGAAGTTTATGGCATATTTGTGTTTCATGGCTGTTGCAGTGCAATTTCCATGTGATTTATGCATGGGGTAGTGGTTCAGGCTGTCAGTGAGGAGTAGAGTATCTTAAAGTAGTATTTGTGCAACAGAGCAGCAGTAACCTGTGCAATGTTATGGTCATCCAGTGCTACTAGAAGAAAAATTCTATCTAAATTTAGAGAAACACTGTTAGCAAACATCAGTCTGAATTGCTGTTTGAAATTTTTTTTTCATTTAACACTGGTTTGTTTAATGCTTTCTCTTCTGTTTAGAACTGCAAAACTAGGAATTTCCTTTGGCGTTGTTGCAGTCATCATTGCACTTACTTTGTTTGTGTGCTTTGCTGAGAAATGTATGGTAAGTTTTATTTCAAAAAAAAGTTTTCTGTTTTCAATAGTGGATGGATGTAAGTTGGCAACTTGGTCTATCTTTTAGGATGATGAACGAAGCTATTAATTTCAATAGGAGTTACAGGAGCCTTGAACCTTGGGTTACCAGAAGATTTCAGATGTCTGAAAATTCTCACTGTAATTCAGAATTATTTGGGTGCCAGAATAGATGGATAGGAGGGAGGAGGAAGTTATTAACACTTGCTAAGTGGGGTTGGGGTTTTTAAATTTATTTTTATGCTTGTCCTTAATAGTAATTTTCATTGTAAATCCTGATATTTTCTATACTGGAAACAATATTAAAATCAAAATAAATCTGAATGCAAGATTAGTTTTCATAATAATTTATAAAGCCCCATGAAAATTACAACCATAACTTATGAATAATTTATTGGGAACAATTTCATAGCTGTTAGGATTCCAAATTCACCATTACATCAATTAGAACACTTTGCATTTGTAGTTCCTTTTTCTTTGCATTGTTAAACATGTGCAATTACTGTTTAAAAATATATGGTGACATAAGGACAGCCCATAGTGACCTAGAGTTCAATGATACAAAATTTCAAAAAAAAAAATTGCTTCTCCAGCCCAAGAACTATCTGGAGGCAGGGGTGGGAGAGGGGAGGGATTTTAGAGAGTTCCTTACACTCATCAAACCTATGTTGTGCTGGACCAAGGGTGAGAGGAAATTCAGAAGTTCTGTTGAGAACATTCCTCCATCATCCTCTTGCAGAGTGGTGATGGGGTCTCCCAGGAGAAGTGCCACAGAAAGAAATGGTCTCTTACAGATCCAGGTTCAAGTTATGTAAAGGGGAAAGAAAAAAAAGTGCACTCTGTATATGGGATACAGTTTTATGATTAATTTAAAAGTACAGTTAGATGTCATGTATGGATTTTATGTATGTATGGTGTGTTTATAGATATTTATGAGTGGATAGATTTTTATATATGTGTGTGTATATATGTCTATGTAGAGAGAGAGAAGTGTGTGTATATGTATGCACGTATAGTTTCTACATATGTAAAAACACATGGAGAAAAGAAAAAGAAAATTCCAGGATTGCAATTCCAATTGAGTTTTACGCTGGGAGAGTTTTGGTACAGCATCCTTGAATAATGCTCACAATCATTAAAAGTATACGCTTTACTCGATGTTTTTCTCTATAGCAACAAATGGAGGATATAAGGATGGCAAGAAAAGGGGACTGTCTATGATTGGTTTCGATTTAGTCATCTGAAAATGTGGTTCCAAATACAATGTATAGCTCTATAACAAAAAAATACAACATAGGTTGCCAATATATTTTTAATAAGATTTCTCTAGAACTTTCAATCAGATCAGAATTTCGGTTTTTTAAAGTAGAAATTCAGAGAATTTTATCACCCAGCCTCTTTGAAATAAGGAAGCATTATCTCTATTTTCAGTTGTGGAGAGGCATTAGGCGTTTAATCTGAATGACTAGATTCAGAGTTCTAAATTAGGATTCCAGTGAAGACTCTTGACACTCTCCTGCAGAGAAAAAGTATTTTATATTTAGAAATATTTCTTCCCATGTATCAAAGTGTTACCCATGTTACTGAAACAAACTAATTTTGTTTACAGAAGTGCTGCTCGGAACGGTGGCCTTTCCTGCGTCATCTTTGTGCTCTCTCGGAAAAGGTGGAAACAATGCCTTTACTTAGGCTTCCTTTAGCAGTCATCACTATAGGTGCCTTGCTGATTATAGCCATTTTTAATTTGGTAAGTAATCGCATTATCTTTGTTCTGTGAACTTATTGTAGCATCCACAGTTTTAAGTAACTTCCTGTATTCTTTTCGTCAAGTACTGTGCTTTTTTCTACCTCTTCTAATGTCTGATTCGCACCATGAGTTGATTTACACAAGGATAATGCATGATGTCATGTAAAAGCATTAAAAGTTTAAAAACTCCCAGTTTGTAGAACTAAAAGTACATGTGATAGACTTGATTCTAGTTTATACTACCTTTTCTTGCTTTTAAGATGGCATTTATAATTACTATAGATTGTAATCCTCATCACTGAGATCGTCTTCCTTTTTTTTTTTTTAATGTGGGCTTAAAAGTTTGAGTGTAGCGGGAAGAAGTTTTAAGCAGTTTACTGTGCTATTTGCACTAGCTAGTAATAGCGCAGATAGGGGAGGGAAGAATATAGTTTGGCTTTCTTAAAACCAAAGACCTATGGGTAGATAGTGCTAGACTAAGATGCAAATGGCATCTGTCTTTTAACTTTAGTTTGAATATTGTATTGCACCTGGGCTACGTGCTTTGAAAAACAACCCTTTGGAGTAACCTCATGCTCAAGACCACTCTGCTGTGGTTTGTGGTTTTTTTAAAAAACAAGCTTTATGTGACACATCATGTTAACAGTTAAGCCTGTCATCAGACAGGTTTTAGCTAGCTCCACTCTGCTGTGGTTTGTGTTTTTTTTAAAAAACAAGCTTTATGTGACACATCATGTTAACAGTTAAACCTGTCTGATAGCTAGCTGCTAAAAGTGATGTCCTTCCGATCCCGTGTGCTTAGTCTGCCAGTCTTCTGATTCCATGGGGAGTTTATTCCAAAAGCTATACTGCAGAAAATGCTTAATTTTCTTTTGTAGGGTTGTTTTTCTGCTGGCTTAGGTCCTTGAATTGACTCACAGCGGTGTCATGTGAACACCACCAGAGCCAGCCTAAAAGAGAACAGGAACAGCAGCTGTGAATCTGGGGGTGAGACAGAACCACGTGTTTGTGCCAGTTAGCTGTTAGATTAGCATAGCCATAATGTGAAACTTTACCGCAAATGAAAAAATAAGTAAGTAAATACTTGGAAATTTGAATCTTCTTGCACCTTGTGTGTGTGTATATGTTTAATACAACTAAATGAGGTATCATTGTATTTCAGTGTTAATATTGCAGTAGCACTGAAAGAGTAACCAGATCAGGACCCATTGTATAATATACGGAGAAAAACCTTAAAATTAGTGACTACTGCTAACAAGTTTGTATGGTGGTTTTGTTGTTGTATTTGTTTTTTGTTTTGTTTTCCCAAATAAATCAAGACTACTGAAAAGAACAAACCTGCAAACTTCACTGGATCAAATGACCTCTGTGCTACCACCTATGTGAGTAGAGTACCATTTTCATTTCTAAGATTAAAATTAAATGAGCTTTGGATGGTGTGTATAATATAGATGGATGGCAGCATTTTGATATTTTTTTCATCTTTTTATAAAGATAAAATTTTTAAATCATTGAACACAGACTTACTCGTGCCACAAGGCAGTTCTAGGGATATTTTCTATTGTTAGCTATGGCTTTACTATGCATCTTTTAGGAATTTTCAGAAGTCTGGTGTACTCGTGGACAAAGCTGAAGTCTTGGTTTGTTTTGGTAACTCAGCACCTTTGAAAGGTGTTCTCCAGCATTTCTGTAAGGATAGATTCATCACTTACTAATGACACAAAAGGATTATTTCTGAGGCTTTCATTTTTTTATCTCTTTAATTCCAAAGTAGCATTCTGTTTTGAGATCATCCAAATGTTTGGGATGCTCCTTTGTCACCTGGCCTCCTCTGTAGCTGGTGGACATTTCTGAACAATGCACAGCAGGTTGTGTGAGGACCCCTTCATTCAAGTCCTTATGACAAATGATAAGTTACACATACATAATGCACATTGTACTCATCTGGTAATTTTCTGTTCTTGCATGTCTGTAAATCAGCCTTTTGGAAACACAACTCAATTCTGCGTTGAGGAAACTGTAAGTAGTGAATACATTACCTTAAAACCCAGATCTTTGACTGTTGTGTATATTACTGACAACTGGCAGGTTCTGTTGCTGTATAAAACACAGCTTTTTTAGGTGTCTGACAGCAAAAAAGTTCTTCATAAAATCAAGACATTTCAGCTGCTGTTGCTGTGCTGAATAAAGTATGGTTTTGCAGTTTTTTGAAATTTCAGACTTAAAAGTAGACCTAAAACTTTGAGGAAAAAGCAGTAGAACAGGATGATTATTATGTTTGAGTCTGAGAGATGAGAGTTGTACTTGCAGGTGTCCCAGGAAAATATCTTGATAGAGTGAAAGGGCTTAAATGGCCAACAGACGACCTGTGTCGGTGTTCTCTGTGTAGTGGCTTCTTTTTCAGAGGTTTGGCTTCAGGGTTGTAACTGTGAGTGTTCATCACCTGTTGGAGGTTAGACTCAATGCCTTTAGGATGACTGAGTTGGTATAATACGTTACTGTATGGGCTGTGATCCTGAGTTGCCCCATAAATTGTTCTAGTTTCATTCACTTCAGCAGAAACATTAGCTGTTTAGCTAAGAATCTCCCAGATCTGTGGTGGTAGGTCTGTGCTATTATGGATGAAAATCTGTGCTTTGTACATAAAGAGAAATAAAGTCTCAAGGAGCAGAAGCTGAGGTAATTTTGGAGTCGTTTGTAGACTAAAGTATGCTAGCTCAGCATCTTACACCGGTGCCTGCAGCTGCAGGGAGCAATCCTGTCTGTGCAACGCACTTTGTACCACCTGAGAGGTTTAACGCTCCCAGCTGCACGTTGACGTTGGACACCATGCCTGGGCTGTGGTGGTTCCTCTGGGAGGTTTTTGAGTAATTCCATTGGGTAACGGCCCTAGCTTGATAATGCTTATTAGCCGCAAAGTTCTTACGGAAGAGCTGTGTCTAAGGTTGGGTAAGAGGTCGTGGTCTTCACATGCTGCAGGTGGGGGAGATGGGAATGTAGTATCTGCTTAAGGTTACAAAGGGGGAGCACTGTCAAAAATAGGACCAAAATGCTGGAGTTCCTGGTTCAGAGCCTGTTCACTGGACTATGAACCTACTTTAGGTTACTCTTGAACTTTAAGTAAATAATTGCTTAAATTAATAGACTTCAGAAGATAAATTCTCAACATTCTTCAGTTTTTATCTAACACTGCTTGTGTTGGTGTGATGCTTTTAGTCAACTAAAAACAAGTATTAAGTTCAGCCCTTTAGTGCAACTAAAAATAAAGCTTTAAGTGTATTTAGCAAGTGATTGTAATTTCTTCTATTTAAATTACAATGATCATGAACTTAGAGCATTTGCCATGATTTGAATGTCTCTTAGGCATAGAGCCTGAATAATGCAACTGCTCTTTAAATTCTTCTTTTACAGTATTATGCTTACTGCTGCATATTGGGGTTCATTGCTTGCTCGGTATTTCTTCAAATGAGCTTCGAACTCAAAGTTCTCCTCCTGTCCATTGCTGTGACTGTCTACCTCATCATTTTTAATACCCTTCAGCATAGAAACTTCGGCTTCTATGGCAACAGTACCAGGTGCAGTGTAAAGTTTCTTGTAATTGACAATAATGTTTCATTAAAGGAGGTGTTAGATTTTTGTACACTTACTGCAGTATTGTAAGTCAGACATCACAAACTTTTCTATAAAGTTAATGACATTGAAATCATGTTAGACCCCATTACTTTTTTTTTTTTTAAAGAAAATGTATATTTTCTGAAAAAATCTGTAATATGGCTTCTGAGATCTCTGGAAGCTTAGCTTACATTAAAGACTGGGGAGTAGAATATTAATATCATAATAAGGTTGATCTTCTGTTAAACTATGAAAAAAAGCCTTGCTAAAAGTCTGATGCTCAAGCTATGCTTGCGAGACCTTGCTAGTCAATAGGACAGTGAACTCTTCATTTACTTACCTTACTGACTGCAGGTATTTTGAAAAGTAACGACAATTTACCTGGTCTAATTGAAGAAACTATAAAAATACTTAAGAGAAATCATGTGGAAGGGTTTTGCTGTTCATGTGTAAGTCTGTCTCAGATTCTCAGCATAGTCTCATAGCTGAAGATTAGGATAAATTTATTTTGCAGAGACTAACTGTGAGCTGTCAGCACAGCTTAAAAAAGCCTAAACGAGGTCTTAATTTAGCCTCTTAATCCCAGGCTATTCGTATAATGAGAATTTAGTTTGATGCATTTGTGAAAATTAATAGATGTGGTATGACAGGCTGATCTCACTATGAAATATGAGTGGTGTCTCAGATTTGTATGGAACTATATACAGGTGTGATTTAATGGCTGTCTTGGTTTTCACAATTCAGGTTTTTATTTGTTACCATCTTTCCTTCCACAGATAAGAAAGTTTCTTTTCCTACTTCAAGGTTTTGTTGGGTGTGTTTTTGTGGGGTGGTGTGGGGTGGAAAGCTGCAACTCAGTGCAATGGAAATGAAGATGGCTCCATTAAGATAGAGCCATGTTTACTTGGACATCTCACTACCATAGCTACTTAACAAGGTTTCAGCACCCATTTTGTCATTGCGTGAAACACAGTTCATGTACTCAACTGAACGATAATCCTTTCTTGCTATTAGGATGGGACCTATAACCAGACAGCCACTGGCACAAATGAACAACGGCATCGGTGGTGTATGTCTGACTGAGCAGACACCCTCTTCTGCTATGCTCTCCTTCCCCTCCTCTTCTTCTTCCTTCCCCTCCTCTTCTTCTTCCTTCCCCTCCTCTTCTTCTTCCTTCCCCTCTCAACCCTTCATCATGTGAATTTTCTTAAAGAATACAGATGACTTTGTATTGCTTTCTTGTTTTCAGGCTTTTCATCAAAGAGCCAAGGATAATGATTAATTTATATCTGGTTCTGTTTTACATAACCCTAATTTTACTTGCAAAACAGGTATGTATTTAAAAAGCAATAGGTTAGTTCTTTTATTTGCAGCAAGTTGATTTAAATAAAATGCAAAAGTGTTACTCATTGAAATTGTGCTCTAAATTAGTATATATTTTTATCTTTTTTTATATTCTTGTACTTAGTTGTAGATAATGTATTTACTTGTACCTATAGATAATGCAAAAATTTTTACTGTGAAAGGGTGGGAATATTTTTATATTTTTCAACAGTTTTTGCGTTAACAGAAGTCAGAACTTTCAAATTCTTCCAATTTGCTATCTGTATCTATATGTCAATACTCATTCTAAATCAAGGCCGTAATTCAAGATAAAAATAATCACCATATTATTAAAATGTTATTTTGGTAAATAGACCTGATGGTACCCAAATGACATACATTCATACAGACTGCTTCATATTTTTCTGACCTTCATTCTCAAAGCACATTTTTCATAATGTGCTTTTCATAATGTGTATAGGCTCAAGAGGCCTTGAAGAAACTTTACTGCTACTACATGTTTTGAATAAATTGATTAGTATTTTTCAGCAAGTTATTATATGGATTTAATTTATCATATTTGGTCCCTTTGCAGATTGACTATTACTGTCGACTGGATTGTTTGTGGAAGAATAAGTTTAAAAAAGAACATGAACAGTTTGAAACCATGGAGAATGTTAACAGGCTTTTGCTGGAAAATGTGCTTCCAGCACACGTTGCTGCATATTTCATTGGTGAAAAACGAAATGAGGTACGTTTAATCTCTGCTATGTAAAGGACAGTGAATTGGACTTGTGTGACACAGAACGTCAGCTAACAAGCACACAGAAGACCGTAAGGTTCTGCACTTTTTGCCTCTTGTTTGTATCCCAAGACCTTTGTAAACCCAAGAATCTGCTATCCAGATGGTCTCAAAAAAATGCAAACTTTTAGTGTCAGTCTCTGAAATCTGTTTGGTAGTTCAGCTTCAGGACACAGTTTGAGTTTGGCAACTATTTAAAAAGGATTTACTGCTTTCCAGAGAAGATAGGCCTTCTTTTTAAAGGAGTTAGTTGAGGAATAGATCGTATCTCCTTGGTAACAACCCCAGTGAGAAGTTCATCTATAATGATTTTTTTTTTTTTAAGACATCCATCTTATTCTGCCAGCGTGTCATCAGAATAAATATTTCTGATTTCACAGCCATGTTTAAGTGTCAGAAGCCTGGCACTGTCCAGAATAGATAAGAATCTTCAAGATACATAGATAATTGCAGCTTTGCCTTAGGCAAATCAACTTCATTAATGTTTCTGATAAAATAAGAGATGCCCACTGTAAAGTACTGTAGTTGACTTCATAGGAAAACTGTAACTTGATTACTGGTTACAAACAATAACAATAGTCTTGAATACCTGTGGTGGAAGGTGACTGCTGACAATGTGTGAATATATTGTTTTCTCATAGGACTGGTACCATCAATCTTATGACTGTGTCTGTGTCATGTTTGCATCAGTACCAGATTTTAAGGTGTTTTATACTGAATGTGATGTCAATAAAGAAGGCCTGGAATGCCTGCGGCTGTTAAATGAAATCATTGCTGATTTTGATGAGGTAATTAAGCTTCTGGCAAAAATGGACTAGATTACCTATTTACTGCAAAATAAAATGCTTCACTAGATCTGTGAACATTAGAGGGGGGAAAAAGGCTGTTACGCTGGATGAATATTCTGACTTCAGCCTTGCAATCCTGAAAGACACATTCCCATCTGATGGGGTTTTTTAGTTACATTATCTAATGCATTAGCAGTATGGTTTGAAAGTTCTGAATTTCAGGACTTTATTTCAGTACTTCGGTGCTTTTATTTCTCCTGTGAGCAGGTAGAGCAAAACTGTGAAACTAATCCTCAGTACTTTCCTATCTAACCATCATGTCATTGATAATATTGCTAGAGATGTTTAATGCTTATTGTAGACAGTATAAGATTTCTGATTAAGTCCCGCATCGAAATATGGTATTAAAGTCTCATGTTTCTATTTTCCTTACCTTCAAACAGCTCTTGTTAAAACCTAAATTTAGTGGTGTTGAAAAAATAAAAACTATTGGAAGCACTTACATGGCAGCAGCTGGTCTCAGTGTTACGCCCGGCCAGGAGAACAATCAGGTATGTTGTCTCTGAAATCTGCCTTCGGTATCCTGTGTGTACATAGGTGCGTTTCAAAGTAACAAAATGTAATGTGACATAAAAGAGAAAGTAAATTGCCCAAAGTGATCTTCTGAAATGTGGCAAAAGATGATAAAATTGTATTGTCTCCTGTTGAATTCACTATTTATCTCCTAGTTCCATTTTTTTCCTAAGCAGGTATTAAGTCTGTAACCCCAGCATACTTTTTACATCTTTAATCTTTGATTCCAGTAGCTTAACGTTTCTAGATGCATAATTGAACAGCTCTAATAATAGGGAAGTCAAAGAATGGCTGCCAAATAAAAGGCCATCTCAGAACTGGACAGTGAGCTTTTTGTGATACCTGAGAACTGGCCCACAAGGGAACGCTCAAGTGCTGCGTTAGATCTGAATCTGAAACTGTTTGTCACCCAGAAGAATTAAAACCAATTTCTGTACTCAGGCTCACTTCCACTATAGCAGGTTTGTGTATGACGTTAGGATGCGTGTATGTAATATATACAAAACAGGTAAAATTAAATCTGAAATCCTAAAGGACAGACATATATTTGTTATAAAACTTAATCATACCATGCTTGTTGTCTCATAGCCATTCTAATTGAATTGAATATAGTTTTTGAAATCCATTTTGAGTGTTTGTTGAACTGTGCAATTCTGCACAGTTACAAGGAGGAGTGGTCTCATCCTTATAAATCTATACTTTATTGACTTGCAGTGCTGGTTTGGAATAGCAGCCTGACACAGCCTTCTGTGTTGTAATTTGATCATTAATATGTGTTATGAATTGCATAGGATAAAGAAAGACAGCATGCTCACATTGGGATTATGGTGGAATATGGAATTGCCTTGATGAGTAAACTGGACGGCATCAACCGACATTCCTTTAACAATTTCCGCTTACGTATTGGTAAGTTCAGTTTGTGAAGAACATGAACTCCGCAGCTCCATTACAATTAAAAATGAGGTAGGATGACTTAAGGTAAATTGCTGAATGCTGTGGAGCCCTTCTTAACACTGAACACAGTATTTGGATTATTATAAAACGCTGGGTGGCTGAAGGTAGTGTTGTCTAGTCTAGCTTTCTAAATGTGCCCAGCTCCTTCACGGTTGGGTGTTTCTGATCACTGGAGGGAGCAATATGAAGGCTGCAGCTGGATGAGTTTGGAGAAAATTAAAGGTATGGATGAAGAGTGAAGTACCCTGTTGTTAACTGTTGACTAAAGACAGTATTGTCATTGTACAAATGTTTATTTCAATATATTAGAAGTAGAAAAAGAATTTTGCTTTGGCATGAACTTTGCCCATGCTCTTTCTCGGACTTCCCGTTTTACAGTGAATGAGTCACTTCACGTCTCCTGAGCCTCAGTACTAATATTTATAGAACAGCAGTAATGCTGATGGCTAGAAATGTGTTGCAGGGTGAAGTTTTGGTTTCTTTTTTTTTTCTTTCTAAGGCTAATGATGAAGCTAGATATTACTTAACTTTCTACTTCAGTAATGATACCTGCTTTTGTTTATACAGGGATAAATCATGGCCCTGTGATTGCTGGTGTGATTGGTGCCCGGAAGCCTCAGTATGATATTTGGGGTAACACTGTTAATGTTGCTAGCCGGATGGAGAGTACGGGGGAACTTGGGAAAATCCAGGTAAACATATGAGCCTTGGAATCTCCAAGAAATTATTTCTAATTGGTTATGGATTTTTTAAAACTGTGAATAATCAGAATAATTTCACAAGAGTTTCTAATTCTTTTCACACAAAGGTCACAGAAGAAACGAGTAAAATACTACAGGAGTTGGGATATTCCTGTGAATGTAGGGGACTCATTAATGTCAAAGGCAAGGGAGAACTGAGGACTTACTTTGTTTGTGCTGAGACCGCCAAATTCCAAGGTATGGGACTGAACTGAGGCTACGATGAAGTTAATCAAAATAGGCTTAGAGCTGCCTCCCTTCTGTGAAGACTTACAATTTCCCTCCATATGTGAAGGACTGTATTCTAAAAACATACATAGACTATTCCTGTTTCTTCTACATCTCAAGAAAAGAGAACGATTTTTTTTATTTTTTTTTTTTAAAGAGAAGTTCTGAAAAGTTCCTAGAAGACACGTAACCACCAGTCTGAAAAAGACCTGTTCCTGAAATAATTTGAGGATTTACCTGGAATTGCCAATGAAGCATTTTCAGTAAGTTCCTTTTCTTGCCTGCACTGTGGGAGCCTTAACAGCTCCAGTAACAACATATGTGGATGCACTGTAGAACTCCTTACCACGTCAAAACATTCCACTTCTTCATTCTTTGACACACACCTGCTTACAGTATTGCCTTTGTCACAGACATGTGAGATGATACTCTGGGCACTGCATATCCTGCTTTTAATGCTAAACAGACTTTGTGGCAGAAGATGGCTGAATAATGGGAAGAGGAATGCAAGTAAACTGAAATAAATCGTAATTGTGCTGAGCTCCTTTGGAAAAAAAAAAATAATTGCACCATATTGGACTTTTTTATTATCTTCGCCTCCTCCATATTGTATTCACCTCCTCCACCTTGTATTATACAAATGTTTTCATGACCAACAGCTGTTCAGAAATAACTTTCATCTAGTTCAGTGTTTATATTACATGTTCTTTGTATTTCTGTGCCTCTGTATTTCGTATCTGCATGCACATTTTACACAGTCACGTAAGAGAATGTCTTTAAAATTCTGGCTTTAAATTTCAAAAAATATACCCGGTTGAGGAGCACTGAGTTTATCCTGCATGCTTGGTTAGGCAGGCTCTGGTAACAGCTTGCATCGCTGACACCCCGTAGCAGGAATTCTGCGTGCTGACTGCATTCTTGCGGGCACTTATGGAAGAAAAAATAATCCCTTTTGAATTGTTTGGAAACTGAAGAACAGAATTAGTAGGATAGAATTAGAAACAGCAGCAGATACTGTATAAACAGAACCGCATCCGAGGTGGGTTTTGGGGTTTATCTATTCTTGTTTCTTCAATTTGACTAGCCACTGGCTGGTTAATCTCTCTTTTAAAGGCAATGCAGTTTATGAAACAAATTGGTTTTGAAGGTTACAAAAGGATGTATGGAAAAAATAGACTCATAATGGAAATGTTTCAGCAGAGCCTCAATACTGAAAGTGTGAGTAGAGCATTAGTAAGAAGATTACGGAAATTGACTTGCTGTAAGTTAGTTTAGTTTGTAAAGTTTTTAAGCTGTTAATGGCTTTTGCTGATTTCTAAATTAGCATTTTTCTACTTACTGCAATGGCTTAATCTGTTTTCTGTTTGGTGTAGACGATATTATTTTGTAAGGCTAACATCTTGTGCCCATTTATAGGTATTAACTAAGGATGGCTTCCCCCCTCCCACCCATAATACCACATGTAGTATGACTAAACAGCACAGTGATTGATGAGTTCAACAGCTGTTTTCTTAAGCCTTACTCTTCTACAAAGCAAGCAGCATTTCCTGATATTTCTGTGTTTAGTACTAAACCATACTGGAAAAGTGTTTAACAAGCAGTCCTATGCATCGCTGCCGCTTTCTAATTACTGTGTAATTTCTTTAGAAGATGAAGTGACTATGTTTCAAGACAGGAACAAACCTAAATATTGTCCAACTGTGGATTAAAAATTGTGCTTATAGCCTGTGCCATTTTGGTAGGTCAAAACTGCGTTTGTAGCAAGTCTCCAACAGAAATAGCACGTTAGAAAACCTTAGTTTGAGGTTGTCTGGTTCATGTATGGACTCTGCTGAAGAAAGGTTTCATACTTGGTGTCTTGTTAGTATAAGGTCAGTGTTGTAGTTGAACAAACTTTCCAACAGCTTTTGCTACTCCTACGTGTTTTATGTTTGCAGTAACAGATGCTCAGCAAGCATTTGTTTTGAGGTATTTATTTATTGTTTTCTAAGGACCACGCATGTGTCAAAGGCTCCTTTCAGCAGTCTTTGATGTCGTGTTAGGTAAAGTGACTATTATTTGCCTCATGAGTATGTTTTGAGAAGTGCATTATGCCTATAGATAGAGCTGGCTCTGAAGTGTTCCCGCTCACAGACCTAGTAGAATGTAGATGTAAGTTATCTATGAAAGAAAATTCGCTGTCCGTAACAGCATTTTGAAATGCTTTTGTTTACATTATATTGCCTGTCAGGCTAGGAACTTGCTTGGGCCTAACTTCAACTTCACCTCATTTACAGAAGTGATATAAAGAGCTGTAGCTTCCAAACTGGAAGCAGCAGGGCTTTGTTGCAGTTCTAAAAGGACATGATGCACTTCCACTGTTTGCTCAACATCAGTGTAGCGTGCAAGGTGGACTTGGAGAAGTTAGAAACTGTGCGTCATGAAAAAGGGCGTTGCATCTGAGGATGACTTTCTAATTTCTCGTCAGAACTGGAACTGTAGAATATGAGAGCTATCTTCAACCACAGGAAAAGTTCAATTTAAGAAGCAACTGTATTTAAATAATTGTTTTCAGCAGTGCTTTTGACAGCAAACTGTGAAATGTAAGATTGAGGAAATAACCTTGTTAGAAAAAATCTTCCTTAAAGCATTATTGTTTTCTTAAACTGAAAAAATGGCACTGTATCTTATTTGAAGAGCTAGTAATGTCTTGAATTAGTGATCTATTTTAAAGAACAAATTTTTGGTTTTACCATTAAATAAAAACTTCCTGAAACTTGTTTGGTTTTGCCATTATTTTGAAGAACAGTCCCATGAAAAGGAGTTATTTTGTACACCCCTACAGAGTTAATGAGATTGTTTTTACTCAAACTCAGTATTTTATTTTTTTTTAATTGTGTAAGTGGAAAATAGGTAGACTGACATACTTGCATTCAACAGCTAAAGAATAATTTCAATACTCAGTTTTCTGTCATCTGTGGCCTGCTACATGAAAGGTAAGTGATCGGAAATGAGATGCTACAGAGCGAGCGAGCCAGTAATGATTTGGCTGGCACAGTTCCTGGGCATCGTCATCTCTTGTAGCATGAAAATGACTTAAATATTAATAGAAAAATTCATTCCCTGGAGTAGTATTTCAGCTGCAATTATCTAGAACTGTGAAAAAGTTGTAGTGGCAACTTCACTAAGAACTACTCTGAGACGACTGAAACTACTGGAGAAAAATCCAGGTTGACAGTTCAGCCTTTTTGGAATGCATGTAAAGAACTGTGGAAGTTTAAACACAATTAAATCAACACTTCTGCAGCCATTTTTAGAAAAGAGGAAGGAAGGGAGTGTAAGGATGGTGTTGGCCATAAGTCTGGGGATAGAGGGTGGAATTCATGATGATGCTTTGTGTTTAAGTTACCTCTTATTCCATGCCCCTACACACATTAGCGATTGCTAATCAGATGGAAATCACACTGTGTGTCATTCCTGTCCAAGGTTATACTGGAACCATGGGGTAAAAAGGAGCAACATCTAAAAATACCTAAGGATGCCTGTGGTAGAACCTAGGTATAGCACTGCGTGATTGTGCGAAAGTAACGGACAAGCATAGGGAAAAGCCTACTTGTACAAGTCACTGGCTCCATATGTCTGATGCTGCAGAGATGCCCGAACGCTGTATGGTCGGTCTGCTTCATCTGCAGTTTTGGTGAACGGGGAATTCACTTTTAATGACAGGACTTTTCTAAATACGCTTTCCTTTCTGATAAGCAAGCCTAAAACCATTATCCAGGTAGTGTTTAGTAATACCTCCAAGTAGCAAGAATTGTCTACCGCAGTGTCTCAGAACTCACTAGAGTATATTCAAGCAGTATTTTTACTTACTGGCAGCAAATCTTACCTTATCATCATGGTATGTTTCTATGCTTGCCCTTGAGTTTTAGAATACTATGAGCAGGTGACGTTGTTTCTCTAAGATCTTTTGTTAATTCATCAGGCTACGTAAGTTTTATTTAAAAAGTTTATTTCTCTTCCTTGTGATCATAAAGACTTGCACAGTAATTTTAAAAAGGGAAACTTGCATGTTCAGATACTAATGATTTTTGCCCCAACCAGATTCAGAATCTATACATTGCTTTTGGAAACTTTTGGTTGAGCCCCTGCACCATATAGAGGCACATTTTCACTGATGCTTCGACTTTTCCAGACACTTAACAATCTATGAAAACTTAAATGGTGCAGAGGTGCTTTAAAATAATAAGGAATGCAAAAAGAATAATTTAGTGCATTTATGCAGCAGAAGTAACTCTAATACGAACCATTCCATTTCAAACGTCATTAGTTCCAAAATGTAATAAACAAAAGTAGTTTAACATACGATATACACGTGCCCGGCGAATGCACCTGAAGGAAGTTTATCTGGTTCTTAAACAGAATCAAACAAACATCTGTAAACTTAACCGAAGCTTCAGACTGTAACTGGACCACACTCATTTTCAGGGATGGTGACAGGCTTTTTAGGTTCTTCAAAGTCTGAAAGTTTACCACAGATACCAGGTCAATTAGCGTATGTAACTTTTAAATGAAAGAAACACATATACAATAGAGTACTCCTAAAGTCATTTGCTAGTTGTGCAGATAGTCCCGAGCTAGCCCTATGTTCTGTAGCAGTCCAAGAAAACACTACACTTCGGTTGGTTCTGTCACACAGCCTCTCTTGCGCAGTGCTATGAAAAAGAAAATGCTCAAGAATTTTGAAATTGAAATTTCTCGAGCAGTTTCCTTGAAAAGATAAGGAAGTTCCTGAAGTAATCCTGCTCTTCTCATTAAATAACATCTTAACTGAAACTTTTTATAAACCACAGATTGAGTGAATTTGTTGTATGCATTACCTTTCTTGAAAGGAAATTCTCACCTGCCTTAAAAACTGGGGATGACCACAACCTCTAGGTATGCTTTTACTGCCTACGTGCCACAAGGGGGAGATCTGGTTCTGGCACGACTCCTCAATCCAGCAAAA